AGGACCTGTCTGGAACAAACTGTCTCCACATTCTTGGACACACAGACCCAAACCTAAGAGATGGTCTTTTAGTGAGAAGCACCAAGTTTAATATTAAAATTTTTCCCTTTAAAAAAAGTACAGATAGGAAGCTTAACAGCATATAAAATAGCACTTCTGGTGTCTAAGTGGGTTATCGTGAGTCCTATGAGTACTTGTAAACCTAGGTGATTACATCTTTGGTACCGTTGTGAGCAGCTCTCCCCATCCTCCAGCAACCTCTGCTGCCCCAGGCAAGGGAACTGCCGGCCAGCAAGCCAGCATGGGAGAGCTCCCAGAGGGGCTGGCTTCTCCTTCCCTATTCCAGCCCACTCCTCACTCCCCAGGATCCTCCAATGCCCATTGGTTCAGGGTTGGTAAAGAGCCACTGCTGGATTTGGGCAGTGACAAAAACATCCCTGTACAGTGCTGCCTGAGGACAAGGGACAGCAGCCAATTGAGATGGCAATCCCCATGGCGTCTGCGTCTCATGCCCACCTCAAGCTTCTTGTCCTACACAGGACACATCTGCCTTCACTCTGGTTCATCATGTCCACACTCCTGATGACAGTGGCCTGGGGTGACCTAGCTTGCCTTTCTCTGCCACTCTTGCTGGCTCCAGATTTTATCATGGTATGAAAAGGGTCTCGTGGTCCTTCTGTGTCCTCAAGACAGCTGTAGGGGGTTTTCCTGGGACACTGACTGTTATGCCAAGTCAAGGTCTGTGCAATTGCACTTGGGGACCTGAAGGAGAGGCTCAGTTCCTGAATCCCCAGATGTGGTATCTGGAATCTTCCCAGAGTTCAGCCAGAAATGTGGCTTAGGGACTTGACCCCAGTCTGCCAGGATAAGTCCAAGCTCCTGGAACACTCTAGACTCGTAGTATTGACAGGGTACACAGTGTCAATGAGTCCAGCTTGCTTACTTTTCAAAGGGGAAAGAAAACTGGTACCCAGAGAGAACAAGGGAGTCTTCCAAGGTCTCATAGCAGGTCCAGTGCAGAGTCAGGGCTCCTACTGGTGCCTTCAGGAAGGCGTTTAGCATATGAAGGCATGGACTATGGGCCTGCAGACTCTGGTGGGCAGGTCAACGGAGAGTGATGAAGATGAAAGGCGTGGGTACCTCTTGTGGCCAGGTGTGTCCTGTGGGCTGCAGGCCAGAGCATCCTGTACTCAGCTCTGCCTTCTCCCCTAAGAGTGTTCATGAAGCATGGCTGGCCCCAGACCAGCTCGGGCCTGGGAAAGCTAAGACTGGCACCAGGGGAGGAGGGTTCTAATGAAATGGCCTTGTCCAAGGCTGGCCTCTGTTTGGCCAGGAGTCAGGCACCAGGTTCTTGCCAAGTTCTTGGGAAGATCAAAGTGGAGTGATCCAGCTGAGGGGCAACTGGCTACACAGGAGGACGTGAACACACCACTTTACACCCAGGACTCTCTCCAGGAATCTAGGTTCCATACCTGTCCAGGCCAAGCCCAACTCTTCCTCTTACATCTGGGGAAACGGAGTCCCCTGGAGGAGCCCTGGCTCAGAGTCTCATGGCTTTCCAGAAGCAGAGGCTCAGTTCCCACAGTTCTCTTGCCTCCTAAGCTAAATTGGTCCCTGGACCTTGAGTGCCACACACCAGGGGCCTTCTTCAAGGGGACAGCTGGTGGCAGTGCAGCAGCTGGAAGGCCAGGCCAGGCCAGGCCAGGCCAGGCTAGGCCAGGAGGGTTGGGTGCTAGGAGGCAAATGAGAGTTTCAGGTTGGGTGGGGTGGGGGCAGACCCTACAGGAAGCTGTCCTCTGCTTCAGCCAGAGGTCCCTGGCAACCTGAGCACTGTGGCTGCTCCAGCTCTGCCTCAGGCTCTGCCTCAGGCTCTGCCTGTGGTTCTTCTTGGAGATCCAGGGGGCTGTCGCAGGAGATGGTTGAGGAGGTGTTGACTTCATTCAAGGTGGAGCTAGAGGAAGGACACAGTCAGAAAGGAACTGGGGAGACCCCAGGAAGATAATAACAGCCTTGTCTAAGGTTTTCTGTGTATCAACTTTCCATACTGAGAGGCCTGCACCACAGGCGAGCACAGCTTAGAGAGTTATGTCATTGCTCCATAACACACAGCAAGGGAGCATGGAAGCTAGAACTTGAGAGCAGGGCCATCAGGCTCTTGAGTTTCTTTCTCATCTCCACTTGCCTTCAGGGCCTGTGAAGGCCTGCATGTACTGCTAGTTCCTATGGAGAAACTGAGGCTCACAGAGGCAAGCCCTGTCCATGTTTCACAATGACAGGCTAGAAATGGAAACCAGCATGTCTCCTCCTCCTCCTCCGTGGGTTGAATCTTGATTTGGGGGAGCCCCCACTCCAGCCTGACAACTAGGAAGCAATAAGGCTCCCCTAGAGCCCACCCCACAATGGACTTGCCACAACCCAAGGCAGACCATGTGCCTCTTCCCCTGTCTGAGTTCTAAACTGAATTTGCAGCACCTCCACCTCCTACAAGCAGTGCTCCCTGGAGCGCTCTGGGCATGGCAGCCATGACCCACACTAACAGCTGGGGAATGTTAAATGTTTCCTCTCTGTCCTAGGGACTAACACAGTACCTGCAAAGGGTCTTGTGGCTACACCCTTAAAAGGAAGAGCTATCTTGCAAATGGGTTCCCAATCATCTTGTTTCATTCCAATCTGCCCTTCCTGCCTGCAGCTTCAAGAGCTGAATAAACTCCAGCCTCTGCTGGCCACTGGAAAGAGTTTGTCCTCACTCTAGCTAGATGTCACTCTTTCTGTAGCAAGTCCAGCACATACCCACAAACACACTCACAAACACATGCACTATACACATGAGTGCCTGGGACCAAAGGGTTAGGGTGATTACCTGGCAAGGCTGGGGGAACCCTCTAGGAGGCCCTCATCGGCAGCGTCAGGCTTGGGGTCAGGCAAGGGGATGATGTAGTCATTGTCACCCTCATTGGGTTGCACAGCAGTGTAGAGGACAGAGCTAGTGTCCAGGGGAGCTCGGAGGCTATGGAACCCTGGCAAGCGAGCTTGAGACCTCAGGATGGCTGGGTGGTCACTTCTCAGAAACTCCTCATCTACCTGCTGGTACTTCTGCTCCATAGGGCAGGGAGTAAAGGAAAAACATGGGTGTGAGATGGGCAACATCTTAGAGACCCTCTACCCCAGCTAGTACACAGAGACAGGGGTTCTATTTGAAGCTGCACCAGTGAGTTGCCTTCCTACCTGGTATCCCAAGACAAGGCAAATAAATGCTCAGAGTCGCCTAGGGAAGGGCAGGTAGCCAGCCAGCACCATGACCCTAACTCCTACCCCACTTCAGAGTAGACAGATATGGGCCTTTATCCCATTGTAGTCTCCCACAGCCTTCTGCTGGGAGACTGGGTCAGTGTCCCTTGCTGTGAAATAGTGGTGACTTCATTCTGCATTGATCTCCCTAGCACCACCCCCAGATAGGAAGAAGCAAGAAGCTGAGCTCAGGACAGACTTGATCCATTGGCCTCGCGTGAACCTGGGACAAGGTTTAAGTGTAGTTGCTGCCAGGGTTGAGGAGAGCCTGGGGTTGCTCACACTTCTGAGCAGCCCCAGTGTTGTCATGGTGCACAGGATTGACAATAGGGTTATCGACCGACTGACTGTACCTCCCTTGGTCAAATTCATCAGCTTCCACATCTTGGTTCTATTAAAATAAATTCATAGCTCTGGCCTGACTCTTTCTAGTACCAGCAAGGAAACTGAGGCCCAGCACGTGGGAAGAGTATTTCCTCCCAAATACCAGCACATCACTGCAAGTCCAGTGCACAGCGTTTGGACCAGAACTGTCTCCCACCCCGCCTTGTCTGTCTCCACATACCTTTTTATAACCCTCACCCAGCAGCCTCTCCAAGAGCAGCACCAGCTGGGAGAAAGGGGGTCGAGTCTCAAACTTCTCTTCCCAGCATTTCTGCATGATCTCATAGCTGAGGGAGGCAGAGAGAGGGTCAGAGTCTCTACCTTAGAGACATATAGTAGGGCTCAGAGTAAAGTGAAGGGGGAGATGCTGGGGAGGAGCGCCCTGGGGCCTTGTTAACACCATCATTGTTTCTCACCGATCCCTTGGGAAGTCTTTCCAGCTTCCCTCACCCACATGATTCTGTGTGGCCCAAAACACCACGGTGAGCATGTGACCTGAATTTGGTCAATAGGGACTTCCATCCTCCCAGAGCAGGCCTGGTTTTGATGGCATGTGACAAACTGAGCCCTTAAAGTTTAGTTCTGGGTGGGGCTGGAGAGATGGTTCAATGATTAAGAGCACTTGTTGCTTTTGCAGAATAGTTGGATTCAATTCCCAGCATGCACATGCTGGCTCACAGCTGTCTGTACCTCTAGTTCCAAAGGATCTGACACCCTTTTCTGATCTCTGAGGGCATCAGACATGAATGTGATGCACACACAGTCATGCAGGCAAAACACTCATACACTTAAAATTTTTAAAAGGTCAGCTCTGGGTCTTTGGCTGGAGTAATGCAAGCACTAAGATGTCAGGGTGGTGCTAACAGCAGCCACATGAGCAGGACAGGCTTGGATTTGAAACCAGCATTGAGAAAGTGAAAACCTTGACTGGGACAGAACTTCCGGATGGCACCGTCTTAAACACCTTGATCCAGTTCTAGCAGGACTTGTCTAACCTCTGAGCTAGAGCTGCATGCCCTCTGAACCCTCAAATTCCTCCCATGTATACAAGGTTCCACTCACATCTCATCAGAGGCATGAGCAGGCTGGGCCATGCGGTAGCCTCTCTTGATGGCATTGTAGAACTGGTCATTCATGGGCAGCTCTGGGTAAGGGGTACCACCTGTCATGGAACAGAGACAGGGACATTATTGTCTCAGGGTGTGGGAAGTGGCAGGGTGTCTTCTCAGGCAACTGACCTGGAGTGTATGAGAATGCAATGCCCTTGGCATTGGAAGTAGAGATGGGAATAGAGAAACAATAGATACACAAGCAGGGTTTGTGTCTATGTTGTTTTGTTTGCCAAAGATGGAGTCTTTGTGTGGTCCAAGCTGGCCTCGAACTTTCCATCTTCCTGACTTCCAAGTACTGGGATTACAGATTTTCATTATTATAGCTGGCTTTAAGCATGATTTTCGATATGTCTAACCTCTTTGATGCTTGGATGGGAAGACAGAGACCCAGAGTCAGCAAAGGACTTGCCAAAGCCATACAGTGGAAAGAGTGGCAGAGCCTGGACTTGCTCCTGAGTCCCTGCTCATGTTTCAGTGTCTGTCCCACAGTCCCTGCTTCGAGCCCCAGGAGCAATCAGGAGGGAGGTAGAAGCAAGAGGGTAGATGGTCTGGTGTATAGTTTGGGGCTGAGGGAAGAAGCGGCTCACCCAGTGTGAAGATCTCCCAGAGCAGGATCCCGAAAGACCACACATCGCTCAAGGTGGTGTAGAGGCTGTTGAAGATGCTCTCTGGGGCCATCCACTTCAGAGGCAGGAAGGTCTGCAGAGGCAAGACAGGCACTGAGTGCATGGAGAGGGCCTTACTGACTGAGCTCTCAGCCCCACCACACCTGGGAATCAGGAGACCCAGCAGCTCCCATACCAATTCCATCTCACTCCGCTCCAAGGCTCTAAGCACATTCCTGGCCAGAGTGCTGGGAAGGTGTTTCCTAACTCACGAGCTAGAGACACGGCAGCCGTGTTCCTGGGGGAAGCCCCTAGGGTGTGCTGTCCATAGAAGTGAGCAGCCATGGACATGTCCAGGAGCTCTCTTTGATCGCTGGTGTCCGCAGCCCTTCTATCCCTATCTTACCTATCTTACCACATCTTCTGGGTTCCTTCCTCTGCTCCTCTACCTCACATCTCTTAAAACAGGGCTGTTTATACTCCCTTCCCATTTACCCCAAACCCACTGTAGCTGGTTCATCTGCCCCTGCTGTGACAGTGGTCCTGACCCTCTCCCCGTCTCTCATCACTGTGCACAAAGCTAGCTTCCTTGTCCTGTCCCTGCTCATAGCTAGGCAGCATTGACATCTCTGCTGATAGGATAAGCCACCAGTGGCCCAATACTGAGCTGTAACCACATGGATCAGGGGAAATCTGTACCCAGGGTCAGAGGCACCCGGGGGCAACCCCATGGAGGGTGAAGGTACTCACACTGCCTTTGGAGATGTAGTTGGAGTCCCGCATGATATATCGAGCCAGGCCAAAGTCACAGATCTTGACCAGCTTGCCTTCACAGATAAGCACATTCCTGGCTGCCAAGTCTCGATGAACACACTGGGTCAGAGAAGAGGGGAGCTGAGGCTAAGGGGCAACTGTGGGGGAAGACCCTCTGGGCCGGGGCTTTAGGAAAAACATGTGCCTGTCCAGGTGTGAGGTTTCTCAGTGTCTTGCCCACCAGAGGGTAGGGAGCTGTCTCACAGGGCCATAAATCTCACAGGGCTAGAGGAAACAAAAAGCCACAATTCTGCCTTCCCCCATTAAGACCACACTTACGTTCTTAGAGGCCAAGAACTCCATGCCATTGGCCACCTGGTAGCTGAAGCCCACGAGGTCTGTGTAGCTAAGCACTGGTGACTCATTGATCAAGGTGACCCTATATGTCCTTTCAGGGGCTAGAGAGCACAGAGGGTTATGGGTTACTTTGTGTATACCATAGGCCTAAAAGACCCTGCCTTTAGGGTCTTCAGTACAAGTGGCTATAGATATTCCAAGTGTTCCCTTAGGAGAATGAGTTCTTAAGTGTCCAACCTAAACCTTTTCTGCTTTCACTGGCAAGAAAAGCCTTAGCTCCGAGGCCACTAGCTAAGGCTTGCCTGCCTGTTTCTCAGGACATTAGATGATCATGGGGCCAACTCAGAGCACATCTCTCTCCCTCAGGCCCTAGGAGGCCACCTTCATCTGGCTCTCCCCTTCTTACCAGCAGTGCACGTGCTTCTGGAACCAACAGGATTCGGGTCAGGGCTCCATTGCACGGCAGCACTGGGCAGGCAGCTAGCCTCAGCTTCCACATGTATGAAATGAGCTATCTTCCTCCCAGGATTGCTACAAGACTGAGGTCATTAAGAACTTTGAAAGGAAAGCATCACTGTGCATATGGGGTGAGCCTACACATGTGTGACTGCATCCACTTACCAGATGGGACATAGTTGTCGTAAGGGGCCATGTAGTTGGAGGACTCAATGTCTGCATACTTGACATCTCCTTTCATGGCCAGCATAGGCACGTAGTCCACAGATTCATCCTTGCTCATGTCCATGTAGCCACCATCGCTCTCCCCAGTCAGGGACAAGTGGCTGTAGGCGAGAGGATGAAGTCAGGCAAAGCCATGGATTTTTCTTCCCTCCTCCTCCTGACCCTTGCTCAGCTTGAGTCCATGGGGCTTTGTCATCTGTGGATTTCCTCAGCCACTATACCCACTGCCCTACAGTCTGCCACAATACAAATGACTGACTCAAACCCTTTCAACTAGCCTGTGTGGCTCTGACCTGGGCCCTGGGGTTGCCAGATCATATAAGGCCCAACATGTGTTCTCAGAGTTCACTCCTGGGAGTGATTACAGCAGCCAGGACCAGGGTCGTACCGGGGTCTAGAGAAGCCCCTTTCTGGGCCTTTCCAGCACCTTCCCTGCCTGCAGAGCTGGGAGATGCATAGTCTGTGGTGGTAACAAGGCCTCCACTGGACCCCTCAGGTGCAGCCCCAGCTCCCCAGGGAGTAGTGGAACCAAGCACACATATGCAAGGAAATGGGTCAGAGTGTTAGAGAGGATTTTCACATCCTTGTGTATACTTTCCAAAAAAAAGTTACTCTTCTTTTTGCTTTTTCAATCAACAAATAACAACAACGAAAATCAAAATAAGAGGGGCCAGAGAGATGGCTCAGCAGTTAAGAGCACTGACTGCTCTTCCAGAGGACCCGGGTTCAATTCCTAGCACCCACATGGCAGCTCACAGTTGTCTATAACTCCAGAACCCAACACCCTCACACAGACACACATGCGTGCAAAACACCAATAAAATAAAAATAAAAAAATTAGAAACAACAAACAGACAGACAGAAAATAAGAAATGTTCTTTTTGAAATAATCAGAAACAGGAGTTGAGTCACCTGTTGGGGCCTCGGGAGGCTGGCTTGTGGAGGTCAGGGAGCTAAGGCTGGGAGCATAGTTCTTAGCATCTTAAAGCCTAGCTCTCAGGTCATCGCTGTCTCTGCCATTATGTTCCTAAGGCATGACACTCATGACACAAGGATGACATGTGGGTTCAAGGAGTCACATCTACAAAAGGCTTAGGATGGAGCCTGTGTCACTGAGATCACACGGAAGTGACAGCTGTCCTCTGTCTCTAGCATCACTATTGACTGTCTGGCTATGGCCTTGGCTCCAGAAAAGCGACTCATACCCACATCTTTGGGTTTCTGGACAAGGAGTGCCCATATGCTCGGCAGGTACTAGTTGGGTGCTGCCTCCCTCATACCTGGGCACGGGGAGCCCTACTGGCAGGGCATTACTGTAGAGCTCAGCACTGGGTGGGCAGGGCTTGTTGGAGTGGCGCTGCAAGAAGGTGTGCTTGTTGCGGTGCAGGTAGTCCACCAGGTCACCATAGCGGCAGTATTCGGTGATAAGGTAGATGGGCCCTGCAGAAAGACAGGCTTAGGGACAGACTCTGGGGGAAGCCTCATTCTTCCCAGTATGGCCACAAGGCCACTAAAGAGTCTTGGGAGACATAGATGGCAAGACAGCAAAGAGGCTGGGTGCCTTACAAACCCAGGTCCTCTCCCTGTCCTCTGTGCCCCCAAGCTGCTAGGCTCACAGGGCCTTTCTTTGCCCATCTAGCCAGGGGCAAACAACACCCACCCTTGGGGTTGACATGAAGACCCCTGAGGTGATGCCTTTGAGGGCTCAGCATGTGTCAAGCCTAGGACATCAGTTGCTGCGGCTGTTTTCAGACTCTTGGATTCTGGTCTACATAAAGCAGGTAAACGTGACTGTCAGCACAATTTGCCAGTTACATTTGAGTTCAACGCACTTAAAGCCATCCAACAGATGAAAACAACACTTTTGAAATATGCTCATTGCAGACACGGACAACAGTCTGTGTGCAATGTACTTCTGTATTTAGACCAATTACACAATACCGAGGAAAATCCCAGATCTCACAACAGACAGCTGCAAATGGCAATAACTTCACTATTATTACTACGTCGGCAGCCCAATGGGTAACCAAAACCTCAAATAAACACAGTTGGGCAGTGCGGCTTCCAATACCCATGTGAACAAAACCTGGCTCCTGGTTAGCTCGCTGATGGGCTCAGCTGTCTCTGAGTTGTAGAAGCTGTTACTTTCTCACGGTTTTCAAAGAGTATTGTGAAAATACAAAAATGGAGGTTGGAGAGGCAGCCACCGGTTAAGAGTACTTGTTGCTCTCACGGAAGATGCTGGTTCCATACCTAGCACCTTCACGATGGCTCACAACCATTTGTAACTCCAGTTCCAGAGGATCTGATGCCCTCTTCTGACCTCCTCGGGCACCAGGCACGCACGCACACACATACACATACACACACACACACACACACACATACACACACACACACACACACACACAGGCAAATACCCACTCACATAAAATTTAAGAACCTAAAGAAAAAAAATATGTCTAGAGAGAATTGGGTTTGGAAGCTGCTGGAACTAGTGGCCCGAGGAATCTCTCTGCCACGAAGGTATCATGATTCTGAGCTTCTAAAACTGAGCCCGTCTGGGATGGCGAAGTAAAAGTGCTGGGCAGCAGATGTGTGGACACTCCAGAAAGGGTGTCCTTTGTTGGTGGACTGAGTGAGAACAGAAAAGAAGAGCTCTAGAGTCCCCTGGGGCATAGTTTGTGTACCTCCTTTGGTACAGGCTCCCAGCAGGTTGACAACGTTCAGGTGGGGTCCCAGGTGACTCATGATCTTCAACTCTGACATGAGGGCTTGCTTCTCACTGCTTCGGGCTGTCGCTGAGGAGGGAGAGGGTCTCAGCCTGAGTGGGCCACTGAGGCAGTATAGAGGCCCTACCAGGGCCTACTCTGGCTCCTCTGTCCCTCCCTCTTGTGGGACTAGTGTCCTAGAGTGGTGAAGACCTCATTGGAGCGGGGAGAAGGTGGGAGGAGGGGAGAGAAGGAGGAGGAATCTGAAGAGGTCACAGTGAGGAAGGGGCCTTTCTGTCCCACAAATTCAGGACCAGGCCCTTCAGAAGAAAGCAGATGTACAGGGAAGGGTGAGGCAGAGTGGGGCCCTGGGTGTGAGGAAGGGGTGGGCTGGCTCACATTTCAAGACACACAT